GCCAGTTTTCAAACGAATGTGGCCAGCACAATCAATCAAGAGATCTAACTGGCTAGAGAGATCTCTATCTGTCTCTGTCTCTCTCTGGCACTCCTCACCACTCACTCGCTCACTCACTCGCTCGCTCACTCACTCACTCACTCACTCGCTCACTCACTCACTCACTCACTCGCTCACTCACTCGCTCACTCACTCGCTCACTCCGCTCACTCGCCGAGGGGTGAATCACTAGCGTACGCATGTGTACAAATTTAACCGTACTCAGTGTCCTCACAAGTTTAACAAGGGTGAAATTCACTAGTTTTTCGACCGATTTGGTGTTTTAAACGCTAAATAAAGCCTTAAAATTTTCACAAATGTGAAATTTATGAGTAAAGCTAGGTGTACTCACCCGTACTCATGTACTCATGTGTACACCGGGACCCAGAGTGATTCACCCCTCGTCACTCGCTCACTCAATCACTCGCTCACTCGCTCACTCACTCACTCGCTCACTCGCTCACTCGCTCACTCGCTCACTCGCTCACTCGCTCACTCGCTCACTCGCTCACTCACTCACTCGCTCACTCGCTCACTCACTCACTCGCTCACTCACTCACTCTCCCACGCGCCCACTCGGCGGGCGTCGAGATGAGCCGGGTCGCTAATGCGGCCGGGGTGCGGCCCTCCGAGGCACGCGAGTTTATGGACGCACCCGACGGCCGCGCGATGAAGATAAAGTGCACCCGATTCGCAGTGGCGGCTCTCAGCTGTCGTTTTCGTCGCTGTCTCTCTCGCACTCATGGGGTGTCCCGTCTAGGAGCGACAGAGACAGAGCGACGGGAACGACTTTCGGAATTCAGTCTGCCGTCGCGCCGTCGCCTTCCTTTCTCCAGTGTGCCGTCACCAGTAGCGAGGGTAGCGAGGTTAGCGGGTCATCCTGGGGGGCAGAGTCAACCTAGAAACTATACTTCGCAGCTTCCTACGAACTAGTATTTCTTTGCAATGAGAACGAAAAAGTTTGCAAGAGAGTACGTAATACAAAGCCAGAGAATACTTCGTACTGCAAAGTACTTTTCTTGGCAAGATTTCAAGAGTGCAGTGAGATTTTAAGAACGGCGAAACAGTTTTTCCCGTGCAAGCTAACGAAGAAAGGTGTGTGTGTGTGTGTGTGTGTGTGTGTGTGTGTGAGAGAGAGAGAGAGAGAAAGAGAGAGAGAGAGAGAGAGAGAGAGAGAGTGTGTGTGTGTGAGTGCGCGCGTACGCAGCGGTGGCCCAGCTCCCCAGACCTCCGATAGTTCGGCTAAGCGGGTCATCCCTGAGCGCGGCCCATGCCCATGGAAGCCCATGAGCCCATGGCAGGCCATGGCAGGCCGTGCTCCACGGCGAGGCGGCCCATCAATGTTGCACACATGGCAAGCCGGCAGGCGGCGGGCCCAAGTTTGGCGGCCGAGGCTTGTTGGCGCCAACTTGCGTAATATGGGGCCGCAAACATCATCAGCAGAGCGTTACGGTGGCCGGACAGACGGGGCTGGCGGCGGCCTGGGCGTCACGGTGGCCGGACAGACGAGGCTGGCGTCAGCGGGTGTCAACGGTCCGCTGCCGGGCCGACGCCTCGCGGCGAGGTCGCGACGACACACGGTGGGCCAGAAGACCGGTGGAGGCGGTCAAAATCTCGGACGCGTTTTGAGGTTCAGAGTCGCTAAATACGGCTCGAACCGAACGTTGTGACCCCACCAATGGGTTGCTCTCCAAACGAGGAATTCAGTGGTAGGGTCACACGTGCCGTTGTTCCAGTTCTGTTTAGCGACTCTATGTAGCTCAATAAACTTACAAAGAAAATGCTTCGAAATGTATGGAACATTTCTCAGTACAGCAAACAATAGGACGTTGCAGTTAGTACGCTCGAAAGACTTCATCAGGTTTTTACAACGCACAGCAACAAACTAAAAAAAAAAGTCACAAAACATGTTTTTAACGTATTATTGAGAGAATTTCATGCAAATTATGCAGAGGAGTTCCGCCCTCGCAAGCAGGTGTGCGCCGCAGCTCCGCGTCTGGATTGGTGTTCGTTTTCCCTCATCATCCCTCGCGGCACTCTCTCGCTGGCCTCGCAACTCGTTTCGCTCCGGCGGGCAAAACCGTCATGTTGTATCAGAGATTTTTTCCCAGGATCTTTAAAACATTTCATTTGGTCGCAACACTTCGGCAGGCCGAACTTTCCTCCTCCAGCCAACTCCTCGCAGATCGATTCCACGGCAGTAATCGTGCGCCGCCGTAGCATCGCCCGCAGACTGATTCCGAGAGTCGTTTTCGTCGCTCTGTCTTTCTTCGCACTCATGGGGCGTCCCGTGTGGGTGCGAGAGAGACAGAGCGACGAAAACGACTCTCGGAATCAGCTTGCTGCCGCCCAACTCGGTGCGAGCGGCGCGGCGGATCCGCGGCGAGGCTGGCGGGGCGGGGCAGGCCCGGGTCGTTGGAGGGTCCCCCGGGCGTTCCAAACAGAAACGCCCCAATCAACACGTTACACCCCGCCCCGCCCCGCCCCGCCCCGCCCCGCCCCGCCCCGCCCCGCCCCACCCCGCTTCACTTCGCCTTGCCTCCAGTCACTCCCGCGAGATAAACGACTGGCCTTGTGAAGATCAGAACTTGCTAAATCCGCAGGGCCGGCGGCGTCTTGCAGGACGGCCGGCGAGGAGGCCCAGAGCGCCCTGGTCGAGGCCCTAGCCGTCCTGGTCGAGGCCCTAGCCGTCCTGGTCGAGGCCCTAGCCGTCCTGGTCGAGGCCCTAGCCGTCCTGGTCGAGGCCCTAGCCGTCCTGGTCGAGGCCCTAGCCGTCCTGGTCGAGGCCCTAGTCGTCCTGGTCGAGGCCCTAGCCGTCCTGGTCGAGGCCCTAGCCGTCCTGGTCGAGGCCCTAGCCGTCCTGGTCGAGGCCCTAGCCGTCCTGGTCGAGGCCCTAGCCGTCCTGGTCGAGGCCCTAGTCGTCCTGGTCGAGGCCCTAGCCGTCCTGGTCGAGGCCCTAGCCGTCCTGGTCGAGGCCCTAGTCGTCCTGGTCGAGGCCCTAGCCGTCCTGGTCGAGGCCCTAGCCGTCCTGGTCGAGGCCCTAGCCGTCCTGGTCGAGGCCCTAGCCGTCCTGGTCGAGGCCCTAGCCGTCCTGGTCGAGGCCCTAGCCGTCCTGGTCGAGGCCCTAGCCGTCCTGGTCGAGGCCCTAGCCGTCCTGGTCGAGGCCCTTAGCCGTCTTGACCGAGGTCTAGCCGGCCCGGGCTGCACTGGCCAGTACCACCTTGCAGGCGTCAAGTTTCGTCGCTCTGTCTCTTTGGCACCTATCCGGGATGCCCCACGAGTACGAGAGAGACGAAACAACGGACACGACTCTCGGAATCAGTCTGCCGGCCGAGGCCCACCGCCTTGCCAAGTGAAAGCCGTGAAAGCGAACGCGAGTGGCTTTGAATGTTTTCAAACTCGCGCGGGCAGTGATGTATGCGCCGTCCTGCTCGTCTTGCGGGGTATTGAGACTTTGGCGCGCCTCCCCCCTCCCCCTCCCCCTTTTCCCCACGCCATCCCAAATCCGGGGCATTGGCAAATTCCTGCCTGGGCCTGGCGGGCCTGGCGGGTCTGGCGGCGGGCCCTGCACGATAAGGTGGTACATGGCGGCGCGCAGCTTGGGGTGTCCTGTGGGGCTTTCCGCCCTCTTGCTCGTGCGATAGAGATATGAATTATTAGTCCTGTCGCAAAGTCGAGCCACCCGGACACCCCCCTCCCCCTTTCCCCTGGTTCCGCCCCCTGCCCAGCGTACACGGCGACATGCAACACAGCGCCAGCAGACTGATTCCGAGAGTCGTTTCCGTCGCTGTCTCTCTCGCACACCTGTACGGGACGCTCCACGAGTGCGAGAGAGACAGAGCGACGAAACCGAGTCTGGTGGCGCCTGACACGACGAATAAGTGGTGGCGGCTGTCATCGGGCAGGTGTTAGCAGGTGCGGCGCGCTGCGAGTGCGACAGGGACGGAGAGACGGGCGCGTAATTTGAACCCTGACAGGCCTCGGTCCATAAATCACGTAACGAGAGGGAGTGGCCTGGACGGTCGGGCAGAATGCGCGAACAGCGGACTGACTCCGAGAGTGCCTTTCGTGGCTCCGTCTCTCTCGCACCCAGGCAGGATGCCCCACGAGTGCGAGAGAGATCGAAAGCCGCTCTCCACTGAAAAACCAAACGTGGTCCAGACCGCATCAACTGGTGTGGTCAAATGGATGACATTTTGACCGCATCAGTTGGTGTGGTCTAGACCACGTTTGGGGCGTTTGGTGCGGTCTAGACCACACCAAACGTGGTCAAACGTGGTCTAGACCGCACCAAACGTGGCCAAACGTGGTTTAGACCACACCAACTGATGCGGTCAAAATGGCATCCATTTGACCACACCAATGGTGCGGTCTGGACCACGTTTGGTTTTTCAGTGTCGGAGGCCTCAGTCTGCGCGTGACGTCCGCCTCGACGGCCTCGACGGCCTCGACGAAAATCGGGGAGAAGTAGTCGGCGGGCGACAGACCCGCTGGAAACGTTTCCCGAGAAGTCTCGCGCACCACAATCTCTGGTGTTCCTAAAATTTTGAGGCCAGCGTACTAGTTCAGGGCCAGTTCTGTGACTAATTCGCACCATGTCACCATGCCAAAGAGATGCGGGCTCTGTACGCACTAAACTCTTTTGAGACCATCACAGTTTGTGCACATGAACTTTTCGTACAAATTTGTACAAAATTTTGTACAAAATTGGCAAAAAAATGTGCAGTTTTTCGTACAAAAATTGCACGAAAATTTCGTGTGCAAAAAAAAACTGTGATGTCTCGTACAAAATTGTACATAACATTTAGTGTGTACCCAACTGCAAATTCCACTCGTCCAAGTTTAGTGAATGCTTCCGCACCTAGGAGTTCTCTACACTTGGTTTCGACACACTGTGCGTCTGCTCCCACATCCTGCCCCGTGCAGCCCGTTTCTACAGTGCACCCGTTTCCCTGTTGCAGCCCTGCCACGCAGCCCGCCCAGGCTGTGGACGCAGTACGAGCGCTACGAGATCGGCGACACGCTGCTGGCCAACTGCACCGCCCCGCCCTCCACGCCGCCTTCCCAGCTCACCTTCCAGATCAACAACCGCACCGTAAGTACGCTTACCTTGGCGCAGCCTGGGTGACGTCATTCCCTCTCGGTCTGCACCCTGGCGTCGTCGGAACCATCGCCACTGCGACAAAAACAACAATTCACGAACGAATCCTGGGTGAAGCTTTTCATCCAGCTTCCGGGCCTGGAGACGCCAGTGCATCCTTGACGCAGTGTGTGTGTGTGTGTGTGTGTGTGTGTGTGTGAGAGAGAGAGAGAGAGAGAGAGAGAGAGAGAGAGAGAGAGAGAGAGAGAGAGAGAGAGAGAGAGAGAGAGAGAGAGAGAGAGAGAGAGAGAGAGAGTGTGTGTGTGTGTGTGTGTGTGTGTGTGACCCACAAGTGTCACCCGTTTCTGTGCCATCCGTCAGTGCAGCATGGCGGCGCCCAAATGGTTTTTAAATCGATGATCGACGCTCGCGGTGGGGCGCGGTGCGGTGTGCAGGAGATTAGGCTCACTATTAATTATTTCCTGCCAGAGCATCCTTCATTTTTCACCCCCTTTTTTCGGCTGGCGTGCAACCGGTGCATTCGTAAAGACCATAATCGCCATAGCCTCTAAACCTGTCAAAACCAATTTAAGGCGTTAAAAACAAAGATGAATACTAAAGAGTATCCTAAGAAGTTTTTTTTTATATATAATTCAGAAGCTTACAAAGGAAGCGTCAGATTTTAAAAACTGTATCTTCGTATCATGCGAACTGAATGTACCTGATCTACTCCTTAAATACTTCTCAGAGCGTGCACTATGCAGGCCGATGCAGACTGCGCCGTTATTCAATACGAATATAATATGACGTCATATTCATAAGGATGTGAATGTTTTCACGTTCTTTTGACTGTTGTGTTGATATCCGCTTTCAAACGCAAGTCAGTGACATCCCCATCTAATGGCCGTGTCACGTTGAAACGCATGTGACATGGAATTCAAGCGACCGCGACAAAAATTTACATAACAACGAAAATGGCGTCACATTCGTCGCACACACTAAATGTTTTTTCGCAAATTTTGTACGAGACATCACAGTTTTTTGCGCACACGAACTTTTCGTACAAATTTGGACAAAGTTTTGTACAAATTGTACAAAAATTGCGAAAAACGTGCAGTTTTTCGTACGAAAATTGTACGAAAATTTCGTGTGCACAAAAAACTGTGATGTATCGTACAAAATTGTACACAACGTTCAGTGTGCACTACAGTGTAGGGCTCGCGGTCCTCTCGCGCCCTTAAACAAGGCCCCGGCCCAGGGCAGGGGCGGCCAAAGCGAGCCAGAGGCAGTGTTTTCCGCTGGCGGCACAGTGGCCCGTTAGGCCCTCCCTCCCAGGGATCAGCCTCACAAAAGTGGCTGCGGTCACGGGGCCTATTAGCCTCACTTTTACTCCCCGCATTCACAATGAAGTGGTCAGGGATTCTCCTTTGTGCGTCCCTCCCCCACTCCCCCCCCCACCCCAGTTCGCCCACTTCCGGACCCCTTTCCCAGTCTCATTTCCGCCGAGTTCAAACGCTGCGACACGTCGTTATATATGATGCTTGAATTTAAGAAAGCTCGAGGCTATAGAAGCTTTCAACAACCAACGTTAGCATAGCCAGAAAATTTCTTCTTAGAATCCATTTTTCCCGTGGGAAATGGAGTGCGTAGCGACCAGTGAATATTTTTAAAATTTAAGTCTGCGCAAAGATCTTAAAAATTTAGCCCAATAATCACTTAAGAAAATCAGAAGAGAAAAAGTAAAAAACAAATAAGATTTGCATGAAATGCACACGCTAAATGTCTGTGCACTGTCACTGCCCATAGCCCTTTCCGTGCATAAGTAAGTTACGTTCTATTTAATACTCATATAAGGGACAATATTTCCGCATCGCGATAAAGTATTTATCAAATTGTACCGAGTGGACCTCGAACTCCGAGACGAAATGAGCGGTATGCAGTCCCGTCAGACACTGCTTCTTCAAGGCCAGAGGGGGCAGAGGGGAATGGTGCGAGCGCGTTTGGCGGGACCGTGTATTTCTCATTGTTTCGGAGCTCCTGGCGCACCTGATACCCACAATTTATGTACAAGTTTGTACCTAATTTATGTACAAGTTGTACCTAATTTATGTACGAATCTGTACCTTATTTATGTACGAATCTGTACCTAATTTACGTACAAACTTGTACCTAGTTTAAACCCGTAACGAATGCGGAAAATGTACACAAAGCAAGACACAAAGCCCAGAGCCACTTCAAGTGTACGTGAAGTCCGTATCCGGCTCCGTTTCCCCGTTGCGCGAGATGCCGTTGGCCACCCAAGCGAAAGACGGGGGGGCCACCTCCGTTTTTTCTTGACGTGTGGTGTCCAGAGCGTCCAGGCCGTCCGGGCGTTCCGCGCGGCGCGGAGTTGTCGCAGCCACTTGTTGCCGCTCTTGGCGGAGGCCGTCGAGGCCCTCTCGGCCCATCGCCGCCTCGACGCCCTCCGGCCGGCGGGGATGGCGGCGCTCCGCCCTGAATATTGTATGATCAGCAAAACAAGTCCACTTTGAAACAGGCCGCTTCACGCGCTCGCCCGCCTCTCCGCGCCTCGTTTGCCACCATTCCTCCCCCGCCCCCAATTCCGGCAGGGCGGCCCGCGGCGGCCCGGCCTGTGGTCGGATTTACAGCGGACACAGTGGGCACACGTACTGCCGGGAATGGCACACACTGTTGAAACAAGAGCGGAGAGCTCCACACTTGGGTTTCGGGGTGTGGGATTCGCAGTATCCGCACTTAGAAGCGTAGAACAGGTAGTCTCGAGGGGGGCTGCTTCGCTCATTTCAGGCGTAAACAAGATTACGGGATCACACGAATTTTACTTGGGATGCAGCGTGAAATTGCGGAAAATAGGATCAAAAATTTAGCAAAACACAGTAAGTCTCCACACTGCAAGGGTAGTGTTCTCCGCTTTTGCACCATGCCGCCAAGAGGGGCTCAGTGAGCTACTCACACTTGAAGTGTGGAGATTGCAAACTCTACACGTACAAAACTATACGAATAAATAATCCAGTAAATGACGAAGTATTTCGACGGTCCCTATCGATAGGCGCGTAAGTCCGAGCGGCGGGAACGTAAGAGCGCAAGTCCGTCCGCCCGGGACATACCGTCGTATCTCGCCCGGGTCGCCACGTAGCGTACTATGTAGATACGGAATGATGCAACGATAGCACGCTACGTAGCGACCCGGGCGAGATACGACGGTATGTCCCGGGCGGACGGACTTGCGCTCTTACGTTCCCGCCGCTCGGACTTACGAGCCTATCGATAGGGACCGTCGATTTTCTTCGGGAGCTCATGCCAATTCCACACACCACCTCATTCCAAGTGTGAAGGTCTTGGTTTCTTACAGTGCGCTGCCGTCCCTCAAGGCCCCTTCCTCTGTGCTTGCAGGTTCCGTCGCTGGCCAGCACCTTCTACACGGCGGCCAACCAGGAGCAGTGGAGCACGCTCAGCATCCACGTGGCGCTGGAGCCCCGCCACTTCCGCGCCGGCCGCCTCGCCCTGCAGTGCGTCGCCTCGCTGCCCGCCGGGTTCGCCGTCAAGTCCGAGACCCGCGAGCTGGGCGTCAAGCCCGCCGAGCCCGTCCCAGAGCGAGGTAAAGTCACTCAGACAGAGCCCCGCAGGGGTGGATCCAGGGGCGGCCTTCCTTCTACAGTGGGCCGGAGGCCCCGGTGGCGGTAGTAAAAATCACGGACTTGGTTTGAGCTCCAGAATCGCAACGGGGGTCGAACCGAACGAGTAGCCCCGCCAATGGACTGCTCTCTGAACGAGGAATCCATTGATGGGGGTCACACGTTCCGTTCCAGCCCTGTTTTGTGACTCTGACCGCCTCCACCGGTCTTCTGACCCACTGCGCAAAGTGTCGCCCTTTTTGCATAATTATAGGGGTGAAGTACCGTCAGTAGTGGTGACTTCGGCAAATGGGATGACTTTTCCACGCTTCCCTAAAAGTACCATTTGGAGGAGCAATTAAGTTCATCTCGTTGTTTGATTAGATCTCACCATAAGTTTGGTGGTGATCGAAGTGCCTGTAAAACAAACTATCATTGTAAACAGTTGCGTTTTGCGAGTCGATATCAACCCAGAACGCCGAAGTCTCCCTTGTTTGCGGCATGACTTTGCCACGCATCTTTCACAAAGCTCACGCCGGGAAAGAGGGTGGTCTGCGTGCACCTCTGAACCCTGGGAAGGTTGTTCCAGTGTCCCAGCTGACGAAAGTGTCCTCCTAGTGCGCCCTGTTGATGGGTACCCGTGTTGTGTTCCAGTGACGTCCGCCTCCACCTTGCTCGTGCAGTCCCACGCCCTGCTGCTGGTCGTGCTGGCCGTGCTGGCCATGGCCCGATAGTTCCACTTGGGCATCTTCGAGTGCTTGTGTCTTCGTGTGTCTGCGTCTCTGAGCGCGCGCGTGTGTGTGTGTGTGTGTGTGTGAGTGTGTGACTGACGAAGAAGAGTGAATGCACTGCAAAGCCAAGTCGACACCTGTAAGGAAAAGGCACGCAGTAGCGGCCGCGCGATCCAAAAGGCGCTCAGTTGCGGCCCTGCGATCTGATAAGGCACGCAGTTTGCAGCGCGCGATCCAAAAGGCACTCAGTTTGCCCCGCGCGATCCAAAAGACACGCAGTTTACCGCTGGCGGCCGCTAAACTGCGTGTCTTTTGGATCGCGCGGGGCAAACTGAGTGCCTTTTGGATCGCGCGCGGCATACTGCGTGCCTTTCAGATCGCAGGGCCGCAACTGAGCGCCTTTTGGATCGCGCGGCCGCTACTGCGTGCCTTTTCCTTACAGGTGTCGAAGTGTGGATCGGTCTCAACACCATTTGGCGCGAAACAAAGTGTCTCAAGCCTTAAAGTGTGAGCTACGTTTGTCCCACACTACACTCGGGCAAAAAATACGGAAAGGTCTGGGGACGAAGACACATACCAAGTTGTCACAGATTTCTCTGTTATTTTTGGCATCGGTGTGGCGGGTGTGAGACACGGTTAGTCTCATACTTGCTGCCTATGGTTCTCTGTGGTTCAATGTCACGGGTCCCGCGCTTGTGAGTGTGAGACAAAGCGTGTCTCACACTTGCAAGTGTGAGACACTGGTGTCTCACACACTTGTGAATGTGGGACAGATGCGGCCCACACTAGAAAGCGTGAGACATTCTGGTTCACGCCAAATAGTGTGAGACTGTTCCACACTTGGATTTGCAGTGTGGTGGCGGTGGATAAATTCTGTGTGTCAATGCATCATCCACGTGAAGGCCATCTCGCATCATGTTGATGAGAGATGCGGCGTTTCAGGTTGGAGGAGGAGGGGGCCCGGGCCGGTTCGGAGGTCGAAAACTTTCTAAAATGTTGATGAAAGCTATTTATTCCGAGTATTTCTACTTTGTGCCAAATACAATTGCATAGTTTTGTTTTCCTAGGTAAAAGATTGCGCAAGTCGCGTTTACCAACCTTGGATCTTGTCAATAAGTTGCCTTACGAAAATGTATCATGGTTGCGTTCATTGTGCGAGTTGCCTGTTATGGAATTTGGTTTGTTTTGCCGTGGGAGAATGGGGTGGAGATCAGAAAATTCCCCTCCCCCATACCCCGCCTTCCTTTGGAATCTGCCCCTCCCTTTTTCTGTCTGTCTGTCTGTCTGCCTCCCTCTCTCTCTTGCGGAAGTCGCGAGGTCTTCACCGAGGTTTTGCACTGTGGTCTGGTCTGAGGAAAATAAGAATATTTACAGAAGCGATTCTCTGCCTCCAGCATAGAGACTTTTGAATGAGTGTTCTGTACATCGTTTATTCTATTTGTCTAGGCATGAATGTGAGTAGGATTGACCTTTGACTTACACATTTCCTCTAGATGTTTATGATATATGTTACCACGTCAGAGTGGTACATGGATTACTGTAAATTATTTTAAATACATGTTAGTGAGCGTGTGTCTATACGTGAGTGTGCATGCGAGTGTGTGTCAGTGTGTGTCAGTGTATGTGTGAATCTGCGAGTGCGTGAGAAATGAAAATCACACTTTAAACTTCAAGGTACAAAACCATTGCCTGCGTTTGTCATGACAATTGCGGAAGAAAGGAAAAAAATAGGGATAGTTTTAAACAAATACGAATGAGTTGTGCATAACTGTTGATAGATATATTTATTAGAAACATTGGTGTTGCTAGGGACTGAACTAAGGTTGCATCGCAAAGGCTCAGATAAGTTTGACAGAAATGCAAACACTTTTTTTGCGGCGCCTGTGAGCGTAAAACGATTTTAGACTTGATTTTTGTAAAATAATTATTTGTATTGATTTCAAGATTTTGTCTGATTGTTTTATAATTTGTTTTAAATAAATTATTTGTTAAAGAATGTTAAGAAAATATGAAAGCTTTACTCATGGTCATTAGAAAAGTCCCAACTAATTTTCAGGTTAAAACTGTGTAACAGAATCTTTGTGAGAGGCGTGCGAGGTGTTGATGAAAGCTGTGTGCATGAATTTCCACGGATCTAGTGGTTTACTATGTCGCTCCTTACTATAACATTATTTGTGCCTCTTGACAGTAATGTGGGAACATGTCTGCATTACTCTTTCGTTTCTCGTTATAGATTATTCAGTGTTTAAAAAAATAAAAACTTGACTGCTGTTACTTTATCTGAAACCTACTCTCCATATGTTCCAAAATCAATGTCCACCGGTCCATTCGTGGAAGACGTTTACCTGTTTGATCTATCGATTGTCAAATTTAGTCACAGCATTTCTTGGAACAAATATATTTCAAATTGAATAAATCATTGCATTGTGTTGTGTGCAATAAAGAAAAATAAAAAGCACCTGTTTTTTTATTCACGAGCACACCAAAACTGACAGCAAGAGTGCGCAAATCACATCATCTGCCACTGCCAACACTCTTCAAAGCCAGGGAACTCCAGCGCGCTCAGCCCGACTAGCACCACAGCCAATAGCTACGAACTGCTTTGCTAATACTGAGTCATCCAACTACAAACTGCGAGCGAGTGTGCCCACTGTCCGCACGTGGCTCTACACTGTGAAACCAAGTGGGGGAACTCCTCACTGTGATGCGGAGGGACAGAATTTTGAGATTCTCGACATAGAAGTGCACAGTTTTCGGTCTCCACACCCCCAAGGGTGGAGCTCTGACTTGAAAGTCAAATTTTTGCCGTTCGATTAACAGACTACGCCCGACTACGCCATCCACACAATATCCGACACACTTTTCCTGCTCTCAACTTGAAAAGAGCAAAATAAAACAACAACAAAAAGGCAAAAGAGCATTCTAACTTTTTTTACGTCACTCATGGTAATTGAGTCCGCTGTACACAATTATCATTTTAATATCTCAAGCCGCCACGGAGGCTTGGCCCACGCCGAGGCCGCAGCCGTGCCAACTACAAGCCGCGTTAAAACTCCGTAATCCCGGAAGTATCCTTGCCACGCGGCAACATTAAGCTCTGTCACCTCGGTCCCGGGCTGCCCCGCCTTCTCCGTTAGACTTACTTTAAAGCGGTCCCAGCGGCGGCCGAGCCGAGGACGAACGAAAACAACTTAGTTCCTTCCTCTCGTATGTTTATGCCTTTCTTCTTGAGTCTTTGTCGTGGGCAAACGTCCGGTGGCGCGGGGTCCCGGGAGCCTCCCCCGGCGCGACGCGTCGCAAATGTGTGCTTTTGCCTCGCCGGTCGCTCGGAAAACGCTTAAAAGGGCGCTCCAACTTCGGGGCCCTCCCCTTTGGACCCTTTCTTCGTCGGCCTTCCTTTTATTCAATTCTAATGGACAGAACGGGCCGAGACAAACATGGCGGCTTTGATTCATCAGTAACTGCCCCCTTTGTTGGTGTTGGCGGCGCCGGGCCGAGCAGGGCGCCGAGGCAGCAAAAAGGAGCCCCGGGTATTGTTTCGCGAGGGGTGGAAGGACATCGGCGCTTCTTCGAGACACGCAGTGTAGTGGGTTACTTACATAATTCACTTGATTCACTCCCCTCCCCCTCCTCCTATTTTCCTCCCCTCTTTTATTTACTGAACGGTACAAACGTTACTTGGTTTTCTCAGAAAGCCTATGGTACAGACATAGGCGATTTCCAGAGGGTTCCTGGAAAAACCAGGAACTGTCTTTACCGTGTGCACAACGCATTTTCGAGAGCATCACGCCAGTGGGCCCAGCTGACATCGACCTACTGGCATGGAAATGGAAAAACTGAAAACGTAAGAATTTTGATCGATTCCATATTTTCGGTGAGGTGTACTCTAACGCTCAAATTTGGGTAATGAGGGTTTTATTACCCAAATTTATGCGAAAAAAGGTTATATTCTGCTAGCTAGACAATATGGTGACCCAAGTTTGGGTGTGTGGACGTGGACATCCTCTTCACTAGATTTGGGCAATGGAATAACCCAAAATTTTAGTCCTGGCAGGAGTAGACTTAGCATATGGTCATGACTCTTTCATCCTAAGAGAACCTCGAAGAGAACTATCAGACATCAACATTTTCTGAGGTTTCGTAAGCCAAGGTTCGGTTGGATTGTTAAAACAGGTATCTCTCTAGAGCTCACTTCATCGACATAATCAATTTCCACAAGCATTCTAGAAACAACTCAAGCTGTCACACTTCATCATTGGGCTCACAAGTCATCCATCTCAGTTACTTCGGGCACCCGTCATGACGCGACCATGGGTCATGACGGGGTTGATATTGTTATCCAGTCTAGGGCACTGTAGGGCCTCCTGCACAGTGAGGCGTGCGTACATTGACACACCTGGCAGCCGCTCACCTTTCCAAGTGTCGAACTTGGGAGGCCTGTGGCGGCGGACGAACGCGTCGCGTCTCAAGATGGATTGCCCCCCGGGGCGCGATGATGGGTCCCTGGTGCTGGCAGTGCGGGCCGAGGCTGCGCGCCGTGCGTGCGTTCAAAGCCCTGCTCTCGGGGTGATTTCACCTAAATAGAATGCAAATAGGGCGATCGGCGAAGGACTTCATTGCGTCTCGCCCCATCACTAAAGCGTAGTAGAAGTGATGGCAACGCTTAAATTATTTTAATTTTAAATTACTGTGCGAGATCGACAGTGTGCTAAGTACGTCTTCGGTGAGTACCGTAAATATGGACACAACAAAAGAACTTGCTGTACGAAATTTGATTTCAAAAAGTAAAAGGGGAAAACAGAAATTCATACATTTATTTTTCAATGTTTTAAGGACGGCATAACGAAAGCGCGAAGCCTTCAAGACCTCGCCTTTTTGCTAGTTCTCAGTGAGTCCTTCGAGCTGAGATCGATATATAGCTGTCGCTTCACTCTGCCTGCCTTACAACCCACGAATCACGTTTGAAAAGCCCGTTCCTGGCCGGAATGGCACCTTTCGGAAATCGCGATAAGGCTACGCTTGCAATGACACAGGGCACCGCTGTCCACTCCGTCGAGGTGAAGTTCAGTCCAGAATGGCCGGCCCGTGCGGCGTGACGTGTGTCGCCGTGCTCGCCGTGGTCCT